GATGTTTCATCGCGTGGAGATTGCATTCTTATTTATATCTTTTTAATCTTTGAGGCCAGAACGTGAGCAAACATTACTGGACTACTCGCCACGACTGATTGAATTCTGACACGCGTATTACAGCAGAAAAGCTGTAAAGCGAGCGGAACGAGCTTTTTGTACTTTGCGAGGCGGCCGAGCAAGCGACAAAATCGCGTGAAGTCTTCGTGCCGCAAGCCAAAATTTAAGTAAGACGAAAGACTTCTTCGAAAGTCTAAAATTTTACTTGAGAATTAAAGTAAACAACAATTCTCCGTCGGCGGTACGGTCCGGAGGGAAATCTTGTTGCATCAATATAACAGTTCTATTGTCTTTTGAAGAAGAAGAAGAAGAAAAAAAAGCAGATGACGCTCGTGTGTGCGGACACTGTCCCTTTAAAGTTCGGTTCTTCGGTTTTACGTAATCCTCGTATTTGGGTTAGGCACAGGACCGCCCGGTAGTGGAATGTGTAATGTGTTCGCCATGCTTGTTCGAATTAAGGTTGCATTTGTATTTTCCTTTTATCGGTTATCATCACGCCAGCAGGACTTTTCTACATGTGTTTGTAAGTTTCTTTTGTTAGCGTTTTCTGTATTTCGTGTTTTTCTAGTGTGAGTGTAAGTCTTTTATTCTATTTTTGTCTTCTTTATTTTATCCAGAATCCATGTTTATAGTCCATGTTTATGAGTTTGACACGCAACACCTACATCATAGCTCACTGAATGAAAGGTTATGGTTTTGGCGGCTAGAGCTCCAACCTCGTTCTCAGGGTTCTCTCCTACCCGCCCTACGGAACGAGAGATGGCCACGTGTCTCCCAGAATCTGGGAGATTACAAACAAACGATTTAAGGGAGGGGCAAGTAACTGTGAGATTTGTCTCTACAGAACGTAGACAGGTTAGTGAAGCCATGAAACTGTGTACCTGACCTGATCTTCAACGCCAAAAATAATGCACAAAATCCTTTGACAGCAAAGCGTAACCTCCCGTAGAATATCTGGATGTTAATCGAGGATGGTTTCATTTGGCACATGCAGAGGAAATCGCGGATTCACCACTTGTGCAGTCAATTTAAATATACTGGTAGAAGTATTCATACAGAAACGCACTAGATTTTAATTGCCATTCCTATGTTGTGGAGGCCACTTTAGAAAACAATTCTTTGTGTCTTCAAGACTACGACAATGCCGTACGAAAGGGCGTCGAAAAGATGTATCAAGCGTTGCTGTCCTCAACGACCTCGAAAATAGATTAAACAGGTCGAAGCAACAGGAAGAGAGAATACGCCGCCTGGGCACAGACTGATTGTTCAAATGAAGAGAGGTAAACAGAATCTTGAATAACACATTTTTAGCTACGGCTCTGTGTCTTTCAGTTTTTATTATTATTATTATTTATTTTTTGTCGTCGTTTATAATCACCAGAATAGCCGTATTAAAGCTTCTTCGTTTAAAAATATGGCTTGCAAGACTGCCAATCGTTTATTGTTCCTCATTAAATTTTCTGGAGGTTTACGTCGTTTAGGTATTCTTTAGAGGATTTCAAGGAAACACTGAATCACATCAGTTTTTTAAAAAGTTTTCATATGAACTATATACAGGAAAGCCTTTCGCTTGGAAGGTTATGTTGTTTGCTTTGTCTCTGTTTATACTATTCCCTGTTGTCTTTTGTGTCGCAATGTGGTCGTAGTAAATAATTATTTTTATCTCGATTTACTTGGTCTTCGCTATGAAAAACAATAACGGTGTAGGATTGTTTCCAGTCCCCCATCTGTAAAGTCCGATATCGAAAGGCATTTCACTGATCTAGATTTTATATTAAAACTAGCATTTACATTTGACTTAAGGGTGTTCTCGATGAACCGATCCGACTGCCATATTTTGTCACGCCGAACCGCTAACACCGCTAATAGTGTAGGTTTATTTGGGCCGGTTACCAGCCGCTGTCAGAAATACATTGAAACTCCCAAAGCAGTTCAACACACAGGGATTTTACCTTAAAAAAATTAACAACTTGAGTAGAACTCAAGATCGTAGATTTTAAGCAATTGCTGTCATCGGTGAAACCGGTGACAACGCAACTTTTTTATTCCTTCTATGGTAATTCCCTTGTTTATCTCCTGATGTTTAGGCAGAGATTTCCCTTAGTTTCAGTTATAGTTGTAGTAGGAGCTAGTAGGGTTAGCAAATCTATCTTCCTCTTGCGATCATTGCGTGAACGTTGAGAGCAAACCAGACAAAACATTGTAAGACAAAGGACCCCTTTTGTTCTGGAGATACGTGACCAGCTCACAACCAGGGTCTCTCTCTCTCACGCGCTCTCCGATCTGTAGGGCGGGTAGGAGAGAAGCCTGGGAACAAGGTTGCTACAGCTCTATATAATCATGAATCATGACACATTTAATTATGGCAAAATAATCGTTTAAAATGCATTTTGTTATAAATAACTGTTATTAAAGGATAAAAGTTTGACATGCATTTTCATTTCAGAACAGTAAATTTTCAAATTTTCCCGGTGGAGTATGTTCCCGGCCCACCACAACGGATTTAAAGAAGTCAACTCTTCGCCGCCAACGAGCTAAATATGTACATGTATGCAGTAAAAAAATCGATCCCTTTATACCCCAAAGTGTTATGTGGGTGCTCTAAATCTGTTAAACATCGAACTTTCTAAAATTTGATTGTTTTCCAGTAACTAATAATAACCAAAGGTTACGGAGATCGAATGTCAAAGCACTTTTGCTCCATCGCTGTGCTTTGCGTGAGTCTCAAGTGACAGATAGTCAAAACACGCGTGATCAGATTACGAGTGATAAAAGGTCCAAACGAGCGTGATTAAATTGCGTCCTGTGCATTCCATTCATTCTTAGTGGAAATCCAAATGGATGCTGGCTACAGGCACACGACGCATGCGTAATGACAACCTGGCGATTAGGATTGCGGGCTCTTCTTGTCGCCCTCAATTAATTTAAGATTTTATTCATGTCTTGCAAACAAAAAGAAACAAAAATATTCACCTTGATTGGTTTGGGAAACACTGAACTTGTGCACAATATTCCCTCGCCGCTGCTGCAACTTCTCTTTTGAAAGAGTATTCCATGACTCGGTTCCACTGATAAACAATGATAATAACAAAAAACACACGGGCATGAGTAAAAAACACAACTACAGCAAACGAAAATAATAATAATAATAATAATAATAATAATAATAATAATAATAATAACAATAATAATAGTAACATAAAAATGATAAGAGCTTACAAAAAGGAAATAAACATATATAAAAAAAATACAAAACAATAAATATTCATCATTTGTTATGTTAAATTGTTTTTTTGATAAAAGAAAAAAAAATACCTTTCTTAAGTCCATATTAGTGACCTTCAACAAAACCGATTTTCTAATCACTTCATTCGATGGCGTATTTGGTTTAAGCGTTGAACCATCTGCAGTTGGCGTCGGTTTAGAGGCATTTTTTTCGGGTGAATAAGTACTTGGTTGTAGCGTTGAACCATCTTCAGTTGGCGTTGTGGAAGTATGTTGATTTCCGGGTGAATAAGTACTTGGTTGTAGCGTTAAACCATCTTCAGTTGGCGTTGTGGAAGCAAGTTGATTTCCAGGTGAATAAGTACTTGGTTGTAGCGTTGAACCATCTTCAGTTGGCGTTGTGGAAGCATGTTGATTTTCGGATGAATAAGTGCTTAGTGGTAACGTTGAACCAGCTGCAGTGGGCGTCGAATAAGCATTAGCTGAAAGATGTAAAGTATGGAAAGACTAAAGCTAGAGGAAGTTTATCTTAAAGTGAGAAAGGAGGTTAAACCCCAAGGGATTTTTTTGGTACAGTAACACGGCCACCGTCTCATTGTTTTCATGCGAAAACGATTTAGAAAATGATATGGAGCAGTATTACATTAAATAAGATACTAATAATAATAATAATAATAATAATAATAATAATAATAATAATAATAATAATTATAATAATGTCTTTAGTATGAAAACTAAAGATAAAACGAGACCATAAAACGTTACCACCGATCCATATGTCAGTTGGTCTTACAATTAGGAAAAGATAAGTTAATCTGTGTCCATAAGAAAATATTAATGATAAGTTATTATTATAAATATTAATTATCATTATTATCTTTTTTAAAGAAATACCATAACGCAGCATAATAGCCGAGCCCATTCCTTGGGCCTAGGGTTGGAATGAGGTAGAAGTCTATTTGATGGGGAGTGCCTTTCTTAGGATGTGAGATGTTCCAAGTAGTGTGATCTTCTGTAGTTCATGCATTTTGATGTTACCCGGGATCTGTTGTATATATTTTCCCAACCCTTTTTTAATTAGTCCAAGGGCCCCTATCACTACCGCAATTGTCGTAGCTTTCATCCCCCACATTTTTTCAACTTCGATTTCAAGGTCTTTGTATTTTGAAAGTTTTTCAGTTACTTTAACTGAAGTATTCTTTTCAGTGGGGATGGACATATCAATAAGCAGGCAGCTTTTTTCTTGTTTGTTGTTGATTCAATGTCTGGTCTCTTGGCCTTTATCTCACGATCGGTCTGTATTGGCATATCCCACAAGATTGTGATGTCGTCTATTTCTCTTACTGTTTGTGACTTATGCTCGTACTATCTCTCGTTTGTGTTTATATTAATTTCTTTATAGATGTTTCAGTGGAGTTATATGTGGCGGCTTTGTTGTGGCTGTGTAGATATTCAGTTTTGGCCAGCTCAGGGTACCCTGCCAAAATATGGTCAATTGTTTCCTGAAATTGACCACAAATTCTACACATTGGGTCTGCACCATCCTTTAGGATCTTGCTGCGATAGTACTTGGTCTTGATGGCCCGATATTGGGCAGCAAAAAAAATGAAAATTAAAAAATTAAAAAAAATAAAAATAAATTAAAATAAATTAATAAAAAAAAAATAAAAATAATAATAATATAAAAAAATATATATACAAATCGATTTATTTTTACCTGGACAGTTTCCACTGTCTATTTCTACACTATCAATCGCGATATCGCCAGTAAATGAATTTCCTGCAATCCCCTCAAATATTACCTGCGAAAAGAGTTGTGGTTAGCAATATACCTGACACTTCCTATCTGCTGGTGGCGATGATGATGATGATGATGATGATGATGATGATCATGATCATGATCATGATCATGATGAATAACGATGAATAGCTGGAATAACGCGCGCGTTAGCACGCTTCTTTCTCTTACCAATCCATTCAGAATTATGTTTCTCTCCACCATAATCCAGTAATTACTCTGTTGTCCGGAAATATAAAAGACTTTGCTGTTTCCGCTGTAGACGTTAAGAGTTCCAACTGAAGCTCCATACATATGGTAGTAAAATGAAAGGCACGACATTTCTCCATTGTTTGGAATAGTAAGAACAAGGTTAGCTTTGTCGCCAGGTCTTCTAGGAGAGGATGTTTCAATGTACATATAATTTCCTTTAAGGAAAGAGGAGGAGGCAAATATCGGTAAATATAACTTTAACAATCAATAAAGGACTATGTACAAGCGACTGAATTTGTGTTGTATTTTGCTGTTGAAGTTTTTGTTTGTTTGTCTGTTGTTGTTTGTTTTAAGAAAAAATTGTGTTTATTTTCTTAGCACTTGCTTTGACTGAAAAACAACAACAAAATTTCAACTATTTGATTACTAATAGGTAGAGTCTTTAGCTGTATACGCGTAACATATATTAAATTCTACTTCATTGCAATTTATAACATAACAAAACTAAATCGCGCGCTCTGATTGGTCAGTCCGCTACTACCATTTTCCCGTGGGTGCACGCTAAGAAACTGAGCTAGCGCGGTAAAATTTAGGCAAATTCAACAAATCTCCTCTCCTGACGGTAAAATACACTGATGAAATGCACAGATGAAAAGTGGAAATTGAAGAAAATACTAAGCTGTCGTTTTGAAGGAAAAAAGACAAAAGATCAAGCGACAAATTTGCCCTGGATGAATGAATCACTGTTTTCCTCGCGGCTAGAATCTGCTGAAGGAAAATTGTGCGAGCGAAGATTTAAGGTACATTTTGTGTGTTTTTTTTATTAGAAGAGAAAGTCTGTTTGGAAAGGAAAATTATCAATTAGCATTGTGTTATTGACTTTTTGGTCAAGCTGATGCTAAATTCAAGCAAATATTTTAGGAAACACGCTCAAATTCGAGACAGCTTTGTTGTGAAGTTTTCATCGCATCGATTAAAAATTTTAGTTGAGTTTAAACGGGCACATAACGCTGGAATAAGCGAATTTCATTTGAGTACAGAAACATTTGGGTTTTCAAATAAATTTTTCAAAAAATAACTTCTGTGTGTATTATTTTG